CTGCTGTCATGGAATCTTACTCTAGTGGAAGAGAGAAATAATGTAGTAGTGGGTAGTAAGCTCTACCTTAAAAAATAAAGCAGGATAAGGACATGGAGATAGGGCAGGGGTGGAGTGGGTAAGTTGCAGTTTTAAGAAAAATGGTCAAAGTAGGTCTCACTGTGAAGATGAGACGTCAGCAGCTAGATTGATGGTGTTACAGAGGTGAGAAGAGGAAGGAAGGCTATTCCAGAGGTCTGGCAACCAGGTTGTGAAGGCGGGTGTGGACCAACTTCCTGTGAAGAATCAACAGTAATTATGTTGAGCTTTGCTGGACATACAGTTTCTTTCACATATTTTTTTCCTTCTTTCTTTTTTTTTTTAATACTTTAATAATATAAATCTATTCTAGTTTATGGTCCTTAACTACCTTACGTTCTGTTTTATCTTTGCTCCTGACAGGCCTAAGTTTGCTCAGCCTACCTGTGGTATAAGACCTTCTGTATATTATAAAGAGGCGCCTCACGCTGAGCATGTGTGGATGTGTTGATTAGCGTTTCTTCTGTCTCAGCATATAGCATTATTTTTTACCCAATTGGTCAGAAACCTAGCCTCTTCAGTATCATCCTTGAAACCATTGACCAGTGACCCATCACAAGTAATTCTTTTGCAAATTTCTGTTCATTCCATCATTCCTCCAGTAGTGAACACAGCCTGGTTCATTAACAGGTGGTAGGTAGACAATTTTTGAAAGTTCTTAATGAATTAATTGATTAGAAAAATTGAAGTTGTGACCTTTGCCATTTCAGATCTATAGGAGCAGTATCTGTATTTTCTTCCCTTGTATAGTTTTTGTGCAAATATGCATACTTTTTTTTTTTAGGCTTTTGCCATAAGGCACATGTATTGGCCAGGGAGAGACTGAGAGGAGAGTGACAAATCATCTCCCAGTAGATAATGGCCATGCTGCCGCAATCCCATCTCCTCCGTTCTTCTCTTAGGATTTTGGGCACACACACACATGTGCCTAGCCTGATTTTCAAGCCACTGGCTCTGGGACTCAAATGGTGGCCATCTAGTGCCTTATAATTTTTATATGAGTTTTTTTTTTTTTTTTGCTTTGTTTTGTTTTGTTTTTTTTGAGAGGTTTTTGCTATAGGGCGTGTGAGCTCACCAGAAAGAGACAAAGAGACAGAAAGCTAGAAATCACCCCAGAAACCTAGAGAGATAGAAAGCGAGAAAGCTAGGGAGATGGCCACGCCGCAATCCCTTCTTCATTCTCCTCTCAGGATCTTGAGAACACATGCACACACGCCCAGCATGAGTTTAAGCCACCTGGTCCAGGACTCGAACTGCGGTCGACTACATGGCAGTCCAGCGACATAGCCATTACGCCAACTGCTGGTCTCACGTTTCGATTATTTTTCAGCCTTAGCGTATATAATCATTATTTTAGGACATGTAAACACTTTATCAAAATTAAGTTCTAATATTTTTCAAGTTGAAAATAAACATGACAAATACCTGTTTTGAAGGGGTGTTATTGTTTTAACCAAGAAAATTATTTTAGATTGTTACAACTACAAAAGCTAACAGTCATATTATGAATTTATTACTTCTTTTAAGAGAGATTTTTGATACAGGGCGTCAGAGAGACAGGGAGAGACAGAAGAGACAGAAAGTGAGAAATCATCCCCCATATGGAAGGCCATGCTACAATCCCTTCTCCATTCTCCTCTCAGGATTTTGGGCATGTATGCACACATGAGTTTTAAGCCACCAGGTCTAGGACTCAAACCACTGTTGACTATGTGGGAGTCCAGTGATATAACCATTATGCCATCTGCTAGTCCCAAATTTATTACTTTTAAGAATAATCAAGGGGACCAGCAGGTGGCAGGGTGGTTAAGGTACTGGACACTCCCACATAGCAAACCATAGTTCGAGTCCCAAACTTGGTGGCTTGGCTTGCTTTCTCACTTTCCCCCTCTCTCTGTGTCTCTCTGAACAAAATTTAAAAATAAATAAATAAATGAATGAGTAAATAAAATTTAAAAAAGAATAGTAAAGTATCTTACATTTTAAAATAAGTTAACTGTTAAAAATCAGACACAGATACAGAAAAATTGATGTGTTTCTTTTATATCCATTAAATGGGAAACTTGAAACACAAGCTTAAAGAAGCCTGCAAAGTGAGCAGTATTAAAATGAGGAGTGAAATAATCAAAATTTTTGCTACCTATTTATACTTGATCAATTAATTCATATTGATAAATTGGTTCCTATAGGTATTTTTATGATTTTTATGTGTAAGGATTTTTTTTAGTTTAGCAGCAGGTGGCATAGTGATTAACGTGCTGGATCCCACATGGCTCACTCCCTGGTTCAAGTCCTGGACCTGGTGGCTTGAAAGACTCACTTAAGTGCATCTGTGTGCCCAAAATTGTGAGAGGAGGATGGGATTGTGAAATCCCATCCTCTTAGAGGATGATTTCTCATTTTCTCTTTCTCTTTCTCTCTCTCTGTCTCTCCCTCTGTATCTCTCTGGCAAGCTCACAAGCCCTATAACAAACAAACAAACAAAAAAGCCAAGACCTAAAAAAAAAAAAAAAAAAATTAGCATGTCATCTTTTTATTAAAGTTAAGAAATATTAAAATTAAATTATAACTTTTTTATAATACACATACATGTTGGGGCTGGCAGGTGGCGTGATGGTTAAAGGCTCTGGACTCCCATGTTGCCAACCACAGTTCAGGTCCCTGACTTGGTGGTTTGCTTTCTCTTTCTCTCTCTCTTTCCCCCTCTCTACTCAAACTAAAATAGATAAATAAATAAATACATAAATGATGTTAAATAAAATTAGAAAAAAAGAATACACATACATGTCATAAAATATTTGAAACAGTAAGATATGCTAAAGACTGGATTCAGTGTAATGATTTCAGATGGGAGGAGAGATGGGAACAGACTGGGGAAGCACACAGGTGGATATACATGATAATTTTAAAGTTCACATATTAAATAGTGAATAGATAGGTGGGGTTTTTTATTAAAATAATAAATGTTAACCGACGATAGTATTAATTCACCTCTGTGTAACTGGTTATGTATTTATCTGGAGATGGACTACTTCATTCAAATTCTGACTCTGCATTTAATCTCTGTACCTTAGTTCCAAACCTCCTCTGTGATGTGGAGGTAATAATTGTACTTATTATATTGTGGTGAACATTAAATGAGCTAATACATTTAAAGTCTTTAGATCACAGTTTGGCATGTATTGGGAGTGGAGTAAATGTTAGCAATTATTACTTCTGAGAGAGAAGAGAACTTTTGGATATCCTGCTCTTGTGTAGTGATTTTATTTTATCCCTATTCCAGCCCTGTGTGACATGAGAGTTACAGACTGCTTTTAAATGTGCTTTTATTAAAATCCTTGTCTTAACCTAGATTTTGTGATTCATCAGGTGATTCTGGACAAGGACTAAGAGCATGGATCAAGCAAGTTTTAAATCAAGATTTAACATTCCAGCACATAAAAATTATTTATCCAACAGCTCCTCCCAGGTATGTGGTAATTATATGACTGCTTAGTATAACTCTGTGCCAGCTAGATGGTCTTTAAGCTTAATTCCTCATTTAAGATATTTTAAATTTAAGTACATTTTCATTGAAATGTATTCTCTAATACACTTCCACTATTGGGCTAGACTTTGCCAGGTGAGTAATTTATTCCCTCTGTGTAAAGGATTTCCCAAAGCTCTGTGTCCCATGTGTGGCCAGCAGGACTCTTTTTCCTCTGGCCCTGCAGATTGCCCTGTTTTCAATCTCCATTCTTCCCTCATTCACCCCAGAAGGGACCCTAATAACTCCAATGAAATAATCATTCTAAAAATTTAGTTAAATCAGAGTTCATAATCTCTGGAAAAGAATTTTATGACATTCTTTCCACATTTAAAAGGATTATTTAGAACTAATGTTATGTTCTTTGAATCAGTAAACCAAATTAGGACCGTAGATTTGGATACTTACTAAACATTTAGATCGCATAACCTCTGAGTATGTTTAACAAAATTTACAGTAATTGGACTGGCATAATTCTGAAGTCAACTGCTTTTTATAAATATTAAAAGCTATTGTTTTAATATAATTTCAGGGAAACTTAAAAGTGTGCTGTACAGGTAAAAAGCTGTAAATTAAATATCCTTGAAAATGTCAAAAAAGTTTGTTGCAGTTGGTTTTTAGGAAGCATAAGATTTGGAGGAGACAGCCAGTAGTATTTCTCTGAAAATGGGAAGGGTAAATACATTTCTGCCTGAATATAAATACAATTGTCTGATGAATTTTAAGAAAAACTATCGGAAACATTCTGGAAATTAGTAATTTTCATCCTAGGAATTTTGTATCATCACTCATTATCATGTGAATTCTATACAGAATGAATTCCTATAAAAATCAATGAATTCTACTAGAATTCATATCGTATAAAATCACTTATGTCCTGAGATGATTCAGAGTCCAAAAATGTCCATATGCACTAAGCATTATTTGTGAGTGCTGTTGTGATTTTGTAAATATAAACTCATTCAAATAACTCATCAAATTCATAATACATTTTTGATACATATTTTCATAATTGGAAGCTATGTGAACAGGTTATCAAATGTTTTAGACCATACCAACAAATCGAAATGTAGTATGAGTTAAACATATAAATTTAAATTTCTTTGGGACCACATTAAAAAAAAAAGAACAAAGAAACAGGTAAGAATAATTTTAATAACTTTTTATTTAATATACCAAACATAAAATATAAAATAAAAGCAACATAAAATCAATATACAATTATAAAAGTGATATTTTGCATCCTTTTTTATTTAAATTTTGAAAACTGGTATGTTTTACATTCAGAGCACATGTCAATTTGGATGTTAATTAAATTTAAATTAAATAATACTAAGAAATTCAGTTACTCAAGGTACACTAGCTCCATTTTAATTGTCCAATCGCAATATGTGGCTAGGGGCCACCATTTGGGATATTAGTTTTGGACCTTAAAAAGGAGTTCTCATGTGCAGCATGTTGGGAGCCACTCTTTTAGATCAAATTATGAATTTTACTTAAGTGTACAATATTCATGATTTGCTCAAATTTCCACTTTTAAGTAGCAAAGTACAAAATGTTTTCAAGACATTCTTAAAAATAGTATTAGATTAGAATCATCTGAAGGCTCACTCACATATCTGGACATTAGCTAGGACCTTCCTTCAGTCTTATTAGTATAATACTTATAGGAGACCTCACTATGTGGAGTCTTGGGCTTCCTAGCAACCTGCAGGCTGAGAGCAAATGTCCTAAGAGAAATAGGGGGAGCCTATATTGTCCCTAAGGACCTAGTCTTAGCATTGTTTCTTCATTAAGTAGAAGATCAGTCAGATTTAAGAGAGAACATATACCTTCACCTTTTGATATTGGAAGATAATTTTTCATAGATGTGGGAAATACAGTTTTAGGTGTTTCTTAACTGATGGTTACTTAGAGGTAGGTTGTTAATTCCCAAGTATTTGGTATTCTAGGTGTCTTACTGCTGTTGATTTTTAATTTATTTCCATTGTTATCAAAGAAAATATCCTATATGATTTTTAGTCTTTTGGTATTCATTAAACCTTGTTTTATAACTTGTTTCATAACTTTGCATATGGTCGATTTTGGTGACTGTTTTTTGCATTTTGTTGGTCTAGTTCTGTCAGTAATTTAAGGAGGTTGATAGTATTACTGAAATTGTGTATATACTTAGTGATTATTTTTCTAAATTGGTCTATTAGTTACCAAGTAATGGGCATTGAATGTCCAACTGCGATTGTAGATCACAGCTTTCCCTTTACTTCTGTCCGTTTTCTTTTCATTTATTTTTAGGCTTTTAAAAAAACAAACAAACAAACACATTGAGGTGTTGAAAGAGAGGGGGGAGTAATGGAAAAAGATAGAGATATTTTGTTTTTTTGACAGGTTTTTTGACAGGTTCTTTGTGTTGTATTCTTCCTGCCACAGACCCCAAATAGCTAAGACTTTAGGCCCAGGAGCTGAACCCATGCTTCACTGTGCCGCTTCCAGCCTTCTAAGCAGTAGTGTTGGCACTACCTTTATACAGCTGGGTCCAGATAGGGTTTTTGTTTGTTTGTTTGTTTGTTTTTTTAATTTTTGCCAGAGGTCATGTTTGCTCACTGAAGAGAGATCAAAAGAAAGTGAGAAAGTTCCCCTGCAGGGGGGGAAGGGGGGGTCGAGGGTGTGGTCACACTGCAAAACCTTCTCCATTTCTCCTTTCAGAGTTTTAGGCACCCACGCATACACACCCAGCAAGGTTTACAAGCTGTCATGTCTGAGAGTTGAACCATGTAGTCGATCATGTGCGATCTAACCACCTTAACTACCACACCACAGTTGGCCAGAGTTTAATTTTTAAGAATTATTTTATTTTATATTTATTTGTTTGTTTGTTTGTTTTAAATTTGACCGGAGAGGAACAGAGAGAGAAAGGGAAAGTGAGAAAGCAAGCCACCAGGTCCAGGATTCAAACCACATTTGGCCATATGGGAATCCAGCACCCTTAACCACCACACCACCTGCTGGCCCCAAGATTGATATTTTTGACAGGATCTTGTCATATCACAATCTACCTGCCTCAGCTTCTCAGTTAGCTAGAAATACAGGTGTACATTATGGTCCCAGTCTATTTAGATTAATTTAGATTGATCTAGGAACTGAGTCTAGGCCTCCCATGTGGCCCTAGCCTCACGCAGTAGCACTCCATCACTTGTACCACAGTAAATGGGACATGTTTAGACTTTATTATTAGGTGCATAACCATGCTGGGTTTTTGTCTTCCTCTTTAACAGTCACTTTTATTTCATACAATATTCTTTGTAAAATTTGCGTAATACCCTTAAGTATACTATGTTTATCAATAATATAGCATTTACATAGCATTTCTTTTTCCATCCTTTTATTTCCATTGATTAGTATTGAATAATGTCTTTTTCTATTCTTTTCCCTTTAACTTACCCATATCATTATATTTATAGTGTTTTTCTTACAGACAACATATAATTGGGCTTGTTTTTAAACCAATCTGATAATATCTGTCTTTCAGGTCATTTAAGTAATTTACTTTTTTTTTTTTTTTTTTTGCAGAGGTTTTTGCTATGGGGTGCATACGCTCTCCAGACAGACAGAGACAGAGAGACAGAAAGCGAGAAATCACCGCCCGAGGGGATGGCCACACTGCCATCCCTTCTCCTCCATTCTCCTCTCGGGATCTTGGGTACGCACGCACACGTGCCCGGCGTGATTTTAAGCCACCGGGTCCGGGACTTGAACCACAGTCAACTACATGGGAGTCCAGGGACATAGCCATTACTCTAACTGCTGGTCCCTTAAGTTATTTACTTTTAATGTAACAATCAATATGTTTTAATTTAGGTGTGCTGTTTTTTGTTCCTCTAATCCCCTCTTCTACCTTCTTTTGAAATATTTTTTTATTTTTAGTTGACATATAATAATTGCACTATTTATGCAGTTATTTGAATTTTTTAATCCTTTATTTTAGCTTATCTATTCTTTTATTTTCTGATTGTTCTGAGAATTACATCCCAAACTTTTTACTACTTAGAGTTATTTTACTATTTTAAAGGAATTGGAGAGTCTTCAAACTGAATTGTAGAGCCTTAAAATTGTATAGGTCAATTATCCTCCTTTGTTTGTTACAGTTTTCACATGTCATTTCATCTATATATGCCATAAACTTCATCAGAGTTATATTTTTTGTTTTCAGCAGTCATACTTATTTTAAAGAACTTAAGAGGAGAACAGTAGTCTATTGTATTTTACTCAGTTGTGATCTATCACAACACACCAGTGTGTTTTGATTAAGTTGTGAATTACCATCTTGGCTATATTTCTTTTCCTCTACTGTATACATTAGCTTGGTTTTTTGTTTGTTTGTTTGCTTGTTTGTTTGTTTTTTCCATGTGACACAGGCACTTGCTGGAGAGAGACAGAGACATAGACAGAGAGGGAAAGTGAGAAATCACGCCCAAAAGGGAGATGGCCATGTAGCAGTCTCTTCTCAATTCTCAACTTGGGATTTTGGGGAGGCAAGCACACATATCTTGAGGTGGCTTGAAACATTCTAAGGCTGGGACTTTTAATTGCAGAGTTAGCCATGTGAGATCTAGTGCCTTAACCACCACACCATCTGCTGTCCCAATAGTTGTTTTTAATTAGCAAAGTTAGAGACATATTCAGTAAAAGTCAGCAGTTAATTTACTGTGATTAGATGGAAAATATTGTTTGTTTATTTTTTAATATGTTAGCTTGAATTTCAGTGAAACACCCAGTAAAGATTTTTATTTTGATGACATATTTTAGCTATGTTTATAATCAGGGATTTCCTTACTTTGGATTTACTGTTAGAATTTTTATTTTAAAAATTACAACTTTTAAACAAGCCATTTATATTTCATATGATGATATAGTTTCTCTTGGTGTTACAAAAAATTCTAAAAATC